AGCCTGTCGCGCTGGCTCACCCCGCGAGCATGGATGGGCGGGATTCGGAAACTACCGCGGGCGCAACAGAAGGCCTCGGGGCCCGATGGGGGGCCCCCCAGGAGCCCCCATGACCCGCGTGACTAACTGAGCGCCACTACCTCCCAGGACCTAGGTGAGCCCTATGCGAGCACCCCAGGGCACATCACTCATAGGCGCGGCGGCCGACGCACATGAAGGCGCTAAGAAACTACAAGGTACATGGTGGAAGTGGGCGCATGCAGCAAGGTTGCTCGCGGCGGCAACGTCTGCGCGCGCGATCTCCCCCCCGAGTTTTTTTTCGCGAGGCCTGACTTCCGGAGCTCCTGAAGACTCATGTTCCAATCGCCGATGACGACCCGAGGATGCTGAAGAGCATGCAGCCCTGGCCGCGGCGACTCGATGCACTTGCAGATGACGACGGGGCAGCAAAAACTCACCTCCCTCATTGGCGTGCTCCTCCTGTCCAATAAGAGCTACTATTGGCCTGTAGTTGCCTGCCTCGACGCCCAAATTCTCGTGCCTGCGTAAACAGTTGGTGAAGACCTGGCGCAGGATGAGCGTGTGTTTCGATAAGAGCAAGACGATCCTACTGCGTCGCATGCCGTTCCACACATGACCAAGCCTGGTCCCCCCATGTAGGACATGTTGGAATAAAACATGTGGATGCGAATCCTCCCCCCGTGCTCTTCCCCATCGAGCCGAAAAGGCAGTCCAGGTGCTGGGGATAATCATTCCTGCCCCTTGCCCTCGCCAGCCTGCTTGCCCTTCTGTGGCAAAGTCTCTGCCTTGAGCTTGGCCTCCGACAAGCGCGCGTCTCTGTCCACGCCTCCGCCCCCTCGGCCGGGTCGGCCGCCACCTCGCCCGGCGAGGCTGCGGGGCCGCTGGCGCCCTCCACGGCGGCGGCAGCCGAGGGGGCGCCATGGGCAGGGGCGCCGTCGGCAGCCCCCTGCGTACCCTCTCCAGGCGCAGCAGCACCCTCAGCGCCAGTGCGACTTTCCTTGGACATCCTCAGCCCGATGGCCTTATTGCGCTCGTCCATCTGCTTGATCCACTTCCGAACTTCGTTTTCTTTGGATGTCGTTTCTTCCTCGGTGGCCACTCGACGCTGACGAATATCCTCCGATCCTTTCGTCTCATTCTCCTCGGACCCCAAGGACTCCAGGGAGCCGAAAAAAGCCTGGCCCCAGACAACCTGGAACAGCTTCGGCTCGCCGTCGCCGTCCGAAGGCTATGCGGCGGCCTCGGCTCCAACGCCCTCGGCGTGAGCCATGGCCCGCGCAGCTGCCCGCCGCGCCAGTGAAGCCTCCTCCAAGAGCTTGGCAGTGAACCGCTCCTTGGTCTCTGCGGCCTCGACTGCCTTCCTGAAGCGAACGAGGTTGGACACGGCTTGGTTGTGCTTCTGATCAGCATGTCAGAATAACCCATCTGCGCGGCGGAGTTGTTCCACCTCGGATATATCTCTTCGCCTTGGCGATGGCTACTTCACCCCTGGAGCTTCTTCACCGCCCCCTGCAGCGAGTCCCGAAGGTCCTGGCTCTCCGCCGCCTCAACGGCCCTCGGGAGAAGGGTGGTCACGGCCTCCTTCTCCTCGGGCAGCTGGTTTTCGCCCTTGTCTTTCCCGCGCTTGCCCCTGCCCGCCGAACCTACGGGGGACATGCTGCGCGAGCGGGGGGTCCCCTTGGGATGCACCAGCGAGGCGCCCTCCTGATCTGTGAACGAAGCCTGGTCGTCGAACTGCACAAGAGCCTAAGCGCCACGAGGTTTGAACAATTTAACGGTGGTTTGGCAGCCCGTGCACTTGAACATTTGCTTCACGAGCGCTTCGTTGTGTTCACATGTGGTGCAGCTGCCGCATCGCTTCCAAGCACGGAATCCACGCGAGCTCGCCGCTGCTATGACTGTTCTCTCTTCTTTTAATCAATGCCGCACAATCCTATGGCAAGGTGTGTGGGCAAAGCTCCTCCAGCGCTGCGTGAAAGCACAGGATAATGAGCCTCGCCAAATATGGTTCGGGCCTAAGTGGCGCGAGAGGACAAAGGGTGTGGAGGAGGAGGAGGAGGAGGAGGAAGAGGAGGATAATGAGGAGGATGTGGAGGAGGAGGAGGAGGATGAGGAGGGGGAGGCGGATGAGGATGAGGGAGGACGAAGATGAGGATGAGGGAGTATCGAGGAAAGACGAGGAACGGGAAAAAGGGAGTGAGCGAGAAGCGGGGGGAGGAAGGACAAGGGGCGAGGATGGAGGAGGGAGTGGGGAACAGGAGCGAAAGCGGCAATGGAGGGCGCAAGGGAAGTGGCAGGCGGGAACGAGGGAGGGGAAGGAGGGAGGGAGGGGAAGGAGGGAGGGAGGGACGGGACGGATGGGGAGGGAAACAGGAGGGGCGAGAAGGAGTTTCTGTTTTTCTGTTGGGGGGGGTGCCGGGGGCTCGGAGGCTATGGGGATTCAGGGTGGTTATGGGGGGTCCCCCCTTTCCTCATCATCACCAGCATGCCCCTGCCTACTGAAGCCCCTTTCCTGGCGCTGATGTTCCTACTGCTGCTGCTGTTGCTCATCGGGCGCTTGCTCCTTGTGCTCCGCCTGCTCTTCCTCCTCCTCCTCCTCCTCCGCCTCATCCCCATCATCCGCCTCCTCCTCCTCCTCCCCCTCCTCCTCCTCATCATCATCCTCATCCTCATCCTCATCCTAATATTCATCCTCATCATCATCTCATCCTCATCCTCATCCTCATCCTCATCCTCGTCCTCATCCTCATCCTCATCATAATCATCATCCTCATCCTCATCATCATCATCATCATCATCATCATCATCATCATCATCATCATCATCATCATCATCATCATCATCATCATCATCATTAGCATCATCATCATCCGCAGCAGCACCACCACCACCCCCATCATCATCATCATCATCATCATCATCATCATCATCATCAACATCATCATCATCGTCATCATCATCACCATCATCATCATCATTATGAACATCATCATTATTATTAGTGTCATCATCATCAGCAGCAGCATCCGCATCGCATCATCATCATCATCATCGTCATCATCATCATCATCATCATCATCATCATCATCACCATCATCATCATCATCATCATCATCATCATCACCATCAGCATCATCATCATCATCATCATCATCATCATCAGCATCATCAGCATCAGCATCATGGTCATCAGCAGCAGCATCACTCATCATCACCAGCAGCATCATCGTCATCTGCATCATCACCGCCATAATCAGCATCATCATCATCAGCAGCAGCAGCAGCAGCACCATCGAAATCATCATGTACCTCCTCCCCCTCCCACGGGGCCTCCTCCGCCTCCTTCGTCTGCTCCTCCTCCTCATGTTCCTTGTCATCTCCTCATCCTGCTTTTCTTGTTGGTCCTCCTCCTCCTCCCTTTTTCCCTCCTTCCTACTCCTCCTCGTCTCCATCCTGGTTCCTCGAGAGGGATGGGAAGAGGCGAGCTGCAGTTCCACCTTCTTCCCCCATAACCAAGAAGGACGGAAGGAGAGAGGAGCGAGGAAGGAGGGATGAAGAGGATGATGAGGATGGAAAGGGAAGGATGAGGTAAGTCGAGCAGGAAGAGACGGAGGAGGGGAACGCACTCACCGCTGCACTGTGAGTGGATCCCCAGCCGCAGCCCATTGGCAAACCACGATTCCAACAGCATTGACAGGGCGCTGTGGCTGAGCGACCCAAACATATGATACAACATGCTCCTATGCAAATCTCATGTCGCACCGTTAGCAACAAACGGCTTCAAATTGAAGCCACGACGCACGACATGTCGATCCGCGAAACGATGTTTGAGTTATGTGACTTGTTATGCTTGGCCTCCATGGATGAGCCCGGCGAGACCCAAATCAGGGGAAACTCACGAAGAGAAACACTAATCACCGCATGCGTCGCTTTGCATCAATTTGCTCTGCCGGGCATTCCATTACTTGGCGTTGTTGGGCACAGCGTTGCATTACTGCGCTTGGCATTGATTAGCCTTAGCTGGCACTGCCTGGCAATGTCTGGAATTGCTTGGCCTTGCTTTGCGTTGCTTGGAATTGCTTGGCACTGCACGGCATTGACTGGCATGGGTTGGCATGGATTGCCATGGCTTGGCATTGCTTTGCAGTTTTTTTGCATTGCTTGCATTTGCATGGTAATGCTAGGTATTGCACACCAGCATGGAACCAAGACCAATGAAGCCGATGATGGCAGTCAATGATCCCAAACCAAGAAAACCGAGGATGGCAGTCAAGGATCCAAGACCAAACAACCCATGAAGGCAATCAAGAAACAGGACGACGCAACCCGAGAAATGCATTCAAGAATCATAACAACGTAACCAGAGGAGTCAATCAAGAAACACGACCAAACCGGCGCAGGCTTGACACGCAATGGTTCTCCAAATGCAACTCAGAAAGCCTGAGGCAAGCCTCATGTGGGGAAAAACAACCTCCTGTGTGGCATCGCACGGCCAGACTTATCTTCCCTGAGCACTCACCTTTCGACAAGATGTCGCTATCTCCATCTCCTCCACCCCATCATACTCTTTTCTTCCTCCTGCTCTTCTCCCTCCTCCTCCCACTCCTCCTCCTCCTCTTCCTCCTCCTCCTCTTCCTCCTCCTCATCGCCGTCCTCCATCCTCCCTTCTCCTCCTCCTCATCTGTCCTCCCTTCTCCTCCTGCATCCTCCCCCTCCACCTTCTGCCCCCTCCTCCGTCCCCCTCCTCCGCCTCCTCCTCCTCCTCCTCCTCCTCCTCCTCCTCCTTTTTCGCCTCCTCCTCCTCATCCTCCTCCTCCTCCTCCTCCTCCTCCTCCCTCCTTCATCTCCTCATTCCCCTCACCTTCTCCTCCCCTCCTCCGGCTCGCCGTCCTCCACCCCCTCCCCCCGCCTTTCCCTCCCATCCTCCCCAGCCCTCCTCGCCCCCGAGCTTCCCGCCGCGCGCCCCGCCCACGGGTGGCCTCGGTGAGGGTCTCGAAGCGCTCGTACAGCCGCCTCCGCCCCGCTTCTGCGAGCTCCGCCGCTCTGGCTCTGTGCCCTCATGCTCCCCTCCTCTACTCATTCTCCCTTCCCGTTCTCCCTCGTCATCGTCGTCGCCGTCGCCGTAGTCGGCGGCGTCGCCGTCGTCGTCGTCGTCGCCGCCGTCGTCGTCGTCGTCGCCAGCGCGCGGCCACCATCGCGGTGGCGCAGCCGAGCACGGAGACGCTCCGCCGCTCCCTCCCTCGTGCTCTCCTCCACCTCCGCTTCGAATTTTGCTGTGGTGCGTGCTGTCGCCGGTGCCAGGGTGAGCTGACGCGGGTCTGGAGTCTAGTGCCGGGGCCGCGGATCCGTAGGAGCAACAGCATGAGGAAAAGTGAGGAGGAGGAGGAGGAGGAGGAGGAGGAGGAGGAGGAGGCGGAGGGGGAGGAGGAGGAGGGGGGGAGGAGGGGGAGGAGGGGGAGGAGGGGAGGAGGAGGAGGAGAGGATGAGGAAGGGAGAAGAAGAGGAGGAGGAGGAGGAGGAGGAGGGGGGGAGGAGGAGAGGAGGTATGAGGAGGAGGAGGAGGAGAGGAGGAGGAGGAGGAGGAGGAAGGAGGAGGAAGGAGGAGGGGGAGAGGAGGATGAGGCAAGGAGGAAGAGGAGGAGGAGGAGGAGAGGAAGAGGAGGAGGAGGAGGGAAGGAAGAGGGGAAAAGGAGAAGGACAGAGGACGGGGACGGGGAGGAGAGTAGTATTCCTGAGGAGGACGAGCAGGGGAAAGAGGATGCGCAGGACGATGGGAAGGAGAAGGAGGATTGTTTGTTCAGCCTCGACGCCGAAACTACTTCAGCACAGCTCGTGCATTCCTCCGAATGCACTCGTGCCGTTGAGGGGGATGAGGAGGGCGGAGGAGCAGGAGAGAGATGAGAAGGGCGAGGGAGAAGAAGGGTGAGGAGGAGGAGGAGGAGGAGGAGGAGGAGGAAAGAAGGAGGAGGGGAAGATCCCTGCCTCACTTCCCCTGCACGGAAGAGGCGGAGGAGGGTTGCGACGACGACGAGAACGAGCAGGACGAAGAGGAGCAGGAGAATGAGCACCAATACCCGAGAACGAGGAGGCTGAACAACGACGACCCATGCAACGCTGAGTGGGAGAGAGGAGAGGCCCTGGTATCCGACGCCAGGATCTCAGGGAAGGAAAAAGGCTGGACAGTGGTGACCATGATGATGGTGGTGATGCTGGCGGTGGTGGTGGTGGTGATGTTGGTGAGGAGCAGGGCGGCCGGGACTGGGAAAGGCAGGGACTGGCGGGAGCAGGAAGGACCAGGAGCACGGAGCACCAGGAGCAGAACGGGGGAGCCAAAAGACAGGGGCCAGCTTGCCGACATCCTCGCCGCCGCCCTCGGGGCATCGGCCTCGCCGCTCGTCCGCCGTCGTCGGCCGTCTGTCGTCGCCGCGGTGCGCCGTCGCCGCCGCGCACCGCCGTCGCCGCCTCCTCGCGTCGCCGTCGAGGCAGCCCCGGCGGCCGGGGGCCGCCCACGGCGTCGCCCGACGCCGCTCGTCCGTCGTCCCCAGAGATCCGGCGTCGTGATTTTTTCAGTGCGGGGTCCCCGGAAGTCTCGACCCATTCCCCCGGGCCGGTGTTTCATCCTGAGCCGTTTTCTGACGGCCCCGAGGCCCGGCGAGGGCCCCTATAGAGAGGCCGAAAGCTGCGAGGAACCTCCGTCTTGATTTTCTCAGTGCGTTGGATCTCTGGGTCGTCGGCCGTCTGCCGTCGCCGCGGCGTGCCGTCGCCGCCGCGCGCCGCCGTCGCCGCCTCCTCGCGGCGCCGTCGAGAGGCGGCCCCGGCCGCCGCCGGGGGCCTCACATGTGGAGGTCCGATCAAAGAGGCCCCTCCTTGGGCGTGGCTTCATGGGGGGGTCACAAAATGGGGGGGTCAGAAAAGGTCCCCTTTCGTGCCCCTTTCGAGCCCCTCCGGACCCCCAGGGGGCTCGTTTGGGTACCGTTTGGGTACCTTTTCGGACCACCCTCGCCGCCCCCCCATTTATGACCCCCCCATTACGCAGCGCCCAAGCCCTCCTGCCCGGGCGGCCTCCGGAGAGGCGCCCGGCACTCGGCTGTCCCTCGCGCGGCGAGGCTTCCCCAGACAGGATCGCGTCGTAAAGAAACAAAACAAAGCAAAAATCAGGGCGGGAGGCGTTTGCCGGTTTTCGGCCTCGGGGGGCCCTCGCCGGGCCTCGGGACCGTAAAAGGACTCGGGATGGAAAAGCGGTCCCGGGGGAAGGGTCCGGGCTTCCAGGGGCCCCGTATTGAAAAAAACCAGGGCGCCGCATGTCTGGGTCACTCGCGCGGCAAGTCATGGCGTGAGCGCGCGTGGGTGCACGGCTCAGCACGCACTGGAAGGATGCAATCCGGAAGCTGCTGCTAGCTGCTGCAGCTGCTGCTGCGACTGCGTTGGTCACGATCCTACTTGAAAGGCCCACTCCAATCCACATCCCCGAGTGGGACTCCGACAGGCCCAGGATGAGCCAGGAGCAGAGGGAGGCTCACTTGCTGTTCCCCTCTCCTCTATCCATCCCTTCCTCTCCCTCTCCTACTCCCTTCCTCTTCCTCTCCCCCTCCTTGCGATCATATCAACGGCCCCCCAGCCACGTCGAAAAACAATCTTGACAAATCCCAAATGGCACTACCTTTGCCGCACCTCATGCTCAAAACTGCACGACACCGGACGCCCCAAATAGAGGCCTCCTAGATTGGGTCCAAGAAGATGGGGTCGGAGGATCTCGCCGCGTCGGCGATGCATCGGCGATGCATCGGCCATGCACTGGCGACGTCGGCGTTGCATCGGTGACGTCGGCGAGGAGAAAATTGGGCCCCACATTGAGCCGCATCGCCGATGCATCGCCGATGCATTGGCGGCGCGATCCTCCGACCCTATCTACTCCGACCCCATCTCGGAGGCCTAGAAGTCATGCCTTTGTTTCTTCGGTGGTGGACAAACCTCCCTTCAGTAAACCACCCTTTGGTGAAACCGGCCTAGGACTGAAACCGACGAGAGAACGCGTTTCACGGGCGTTTGCCTTGGGAACAGTCGGCGGCGCGTCTTGAACTGGGGGTTGGGCACCCCCCCGTCGATCAAAACCAGGGGGACTCCCCTCGCCCCCAACCCCCCCCCCTCCCGAACCCCCCCCTCTCCCTCCCAAGGGGGGGGGGTCAAAACCCCTTACCCCCCCCTGGCGCCGGCGCAGGCGGCCGCCAGCAGCGCCCACGCCGGGGACGCAGCGACAATGACCAGAGGCAGCCCAAGAGGAGGGGGGGCCCCCCCCACCCCTTAGCGCCGAGGGGAGGGGGGGTTTGAACCCCCCCCCCTGGCGCCGGCGCCGGCGCTGGCGGCGGCCAGCAGCGCTGGCGCTGGCGCCGGCGACGGCGGGGACGCAGCGACGATAACCACCACTATCACCACGACCACCACCACCACAGCCACCACCACCGCCTCAACCAACCACGACCACCACCAACCCACCACACAACCACCACCACCACAGCCACCACCACCGCAACAACCACCACCACAACTCAGGAGGAGGAGGAGGAGGAGGAGGAGGAGGAGGAGGAGGAGGAGTGGAAGAGAAAAAGTAGGACAAGGGGAGGAGGAGGAGGAGGAGGAAGGAGGCGGAGGAGGAAGACGAGACGAGACGAACAGAGGAGGAGGAGGATGACGCGGAAGCAGCGACAGGAGGAGGAGGAGGAGGAGGAGGAGGAGGAGGCGGAGGAGGAGGAGGAAGCGGCGGGGGAGGAGGAGGAGGAGGAGGACGAGGAGACAGAGGAGGAGGAGGAGGACGAGGAGGCAGAGGAGGAGGAGGAAGAGGAGGAGGAGGAGGAGGAGGAGGAGGAGGAGGAGGAGGTCCCCCCCCTGAGCACCGTCGAAACCGCCCGCAGGCTCAGACCTCGGAGCCCAAACTCCCAGACCCCCCCCTGGGCACGACAAAAACATGTTCCGTCGGCAGGGGTCCTCTGCGCTGGCGGAATGAGCTAAACGGGGGCGCCGCTGCAGCGACTTAGCCGGCACGTAAGAGCGGGGAAACAGAGGACAGGGCACGGCAAAAACACGGATCGGCAGCTCGACGGCGCCCACGGCGGCAGGCGAAGACATGGTTGCCCTCGGCGATCGCAGCCCTACTCTGGCTCTCGCACCGGGTGGTCGAAGCGTTGCTGGATACATGCTCAGAGTTTCTTGGTGAGCGTCGGGGGGGCGACACCCCCGCCGACAGCCCCACATCGACCCCAATCGCGGGCAGCCACCGCGCGCCGAAGGCGCTCCGACCCCCGTCGCGGCGAGACGACGGGGCGAGGTTGACCCCCGTCAGGGGGGGTAACCCCCCAACCTTGTCAAGAAACTCAGATGAACCTGTGGCGGCACTGACAGACGGTGGACGGAAGCTATTGCGCACGGTAGGTCTGGGAATTGGGACCCAGCTCGGAAAGGGGGCGGCCGACGAATCCTTGAACCGATAAGGCTTGACTTTTGCTTCCTCCAGCTTCCGCTGGCTTCCGCTGGCGGTGGCGGCCTCACTTTACTTCCGCCGCTTTCCGCCGATATAGAGACGGCAACTCCATCGACCCTCGAAGGCAAGACCCTTTTGCAATGCCTCAGCTCGGTTCGGGCCGGGCCGGGGCGGACCCAAGCGGCCCCCTGGACGACGACAGACGACAGACGACAGACGACAGACGACAGACGACGACGACGACGACGACGACGACGACGACGACGACGACGACGACGACGACGACGACGACGACGACGACGACGACGACGACGACGACGTCGACGACGGCGGCGGCGGCGGCGGCGGCGGCGGCGGCGGCGGCGACGAACTCCACGACGACAGCGACCCCGAGCGACGACGGCGACGCCGGCCGACGGCGACGACGGGCGGCCCCCGCGCGGCCGCCCGCCTGGCCGTCGGCGAGGCCGCGCCCTCCGCGGCACAGGCCGCGACCCACTCGTCGCGCGCGCGGTGGCGGGCGCTGCGGTCGTCGCGCAGGCGCCGGGCCTCTCGGGGGCGCCGGGGCGCCGCCGTCGTCGTCGTCGTCGTCGTCGTCGTCGTCGGCGTCGGCGTCGTCGTCAGTTCGTAGTTGTCGTCGTCGTCGTCTGTGTCTCGGTCGTCGTCTTCGTCGTCGCTCGGCGTCGTCGTCGTCGCGTCGTCGTCGGCGTCGTCGTTCTGTCACCGTCGCGTCGGGCGTCGTCGCCGTTCGCGCCTTCGTGTCTCGGTTCGTCGTCGTTCGTGTCGTCTCGGCGACGGTCGTCGGTGTCATCGTCGCAAAACTTCGTCATCGTCGTCGTCGCATTCTTGCGGCTGGGGCAGCGCGCGTGCGACCCATGGGGGCGGGGCGAAATAGGTCAAGGATAGGAGAGAGAGCTGGAGGGCTCGTGCAGACCACCCCGGGAGGCCTCGCTCCTCTCGCTCCTCTGGCCACTCCGCCCCCCATATCTATAACCACGAATTCAATAATGTGCCGTAGTCCCAACCTCATTCTTCTCATCCTTCCTTTACCCACGCTCTTCCCTCCTCTACTCCTCCTCCACTCCTCCTCCTCCTCTCCACCCTCGCCCGCCCAGGCTACCTTTGTCCCGGATCCTGCTCTCCATCCCTCCCTCTCACTCCTACCTCCTCCTCCTCCCTCCTCCTCCTCCTCCTCCTCCTCCTCCTCCTCCCCCTCCGCCTCCTCCCCCTCCTCCTCCCCCCTCCTCCTCCTCTCCTCCTCCCCTCCCTCCTCCTCCTCCTCTCCTCCTCCTCCTCCCCTCCTATTTCTCCTCTCCTCCTCCTCCTGCTCGCCTCCCCCCCCCGCCCCCCTTCCGCGACGAGGACGACCACCACCACGCCCGCAGAGACTGCGGGCGCCCACGCCCCGCGGCGGGTGGCGGCGACGGCGCCCAGCAGGCCTCGGCGAGGTCGCCGCGCCGCTCCGCGCCCAGGATCAGCAGCTCCCGCCGCACCAGCTCGTCCAGCAGCGGCAGCAGCGCCAGCAGCACCTGCCCAGCGCCCGCTCGGCCGCCGCCGCCGCCGCCGCCGCCGTCGTCGGCGCGTCCTCGCCGTCGCCGCCACCTTCTGGGAGAGGCCTGGGGAACGGCTTCGAACGCTCGTCGTCGTCGTCGTCGTCGTCGTCGTCGTCGTCGTCGTCGTCGTCGTCGTCGTCGTCGTCGTCGTCGTCGTCGTCGTCGTCGTCGTCGTCGTCGTCGTCGTCGTCGTCGTCTGTCGTCGTCCCCCGGGTGACGGCGGCGCAGGGAGCACACGGGGGAGAGGTCCCGCTCCCTCGCTCCTGGGGCCCCTTACTGGAAGGGGATGAGCAGCCCAAGCCATCCCCGGTGCCCCAGGCCCTCGCGAAAAGAGGGCCACGGCAAACAGCTCGGAGCGAACCATCCGTGGTGAAGCAGCGAAAGCTTGACCATCTCCCTCCCTCTGGCGTCCTCCTGCCCCAGGCCGCCCCCGTGAAGGTGGCGGCGGCGGAACGTCTCCGCGCGCCCGCGCGCGCGGGAGCGCGCGGAGGAGGAGGAGGAGGAGGAGGAAGAGGAGGAGGAGGAGGAGGAGGAGGAGGAGGAGGAGGAGGAGGAGGAGGAGGAGGAGGAGGAAGAGGAGGAGGAGGAGGGGGGGAGGTGGAGGAGGAGTGAGGAGGAGGAGGAGGAAGGGAGGAGGAGGAGGAGGAGGAGGAGGAGGAGGAAGGAGGAGGAGGAGGAGGAGGAGGAGGGAGGAGGAGGGGCAGAGGAGGACCACAATGACGGAGAGGACAACAGCAACGACGTCGAGAGCGACAACATTGACAGGACATTGACATTATTGCTTACGTTGGCGAGAGGATAATGGTGACGAAGACGACGCTGATGGCGGTGGCGACGGCGTCCCAGATATCCTGCAGTGCCATTTTTCCCAACAGTCCTGCGGTGTTGTGTTGAGTCCTCGTTTGAAGAAGCCGCGCCCCGCGACACTCCTCCTTCTTCCTCCCCCGCCTCCTCCTCCTCCTGCGGCCAGCCTCCTCCTCCTCCTCCTCCTCCTCCTCCTCCTCCTCCTCCTCCTCCTCCTCCTCCTGGTGGTCGTGACAGCAACATGCAACAAGGAAAACAGAAGAGAGAGCGACGGATGCGCTCCTGGCCTGCTCGGACACTTTCAGGCAGACCCCGGCGACCCATAAGTCGTCCTCCTTGTGCTCCTCCAGTGTTTTGGAGCGGCTCCTCTCCACTCGTCGTGCGTACCCGACTCCTATAGTCATAGTACGCATCCCTTCTAGTAACGTCGGCAGGATCCTGCCTCATCATCATCATACGCATCCTTAGCCGTCCTCCTCCTACCTCCTCCTCCTCCTCGTCGTACTCCCAACCATATGCAGGTCTTAGCACCGACCCCCTCACGCAGCCCACACTTGAAAACCGGAGCGGTAGCCTGCCATGGCCCTGCACCTGCGCTCGGGGAAATCTCTCCTCCTCCTCCTCCTCCTCCTCCTCCTCCTCCTCCTCCTCCTCCTCCTCCTCCTCCTCTCTCATCATCGTCATCGTCATCATGACCATTACCGCCATCACCATAATCACCACATGATCCTCATTCCCCTCATCGAAATGCTAATCACCATCATTTCCAGCACCATGAACATGCTGACAATCAGCATCGCCATCCCGACAGCATCATCATCAGCATCATCATCACTGCCACCATCACCATCATCATCACCGTCAGCATCATCAAAATCACAATCATCATAATCATCATACTCGTCGTCATCATCAGCAGCATCAATCATCATACTCATCATCAACAGCAGAAACATCAACAGCACAATCAGCATCATCATCGTCATCCTGATCCTACTCATCCAGATCCTCACCCTCACCCTCATCCCAATCATCCTCATCCAGCTCATCCTCATCCTCATCGTGATCATCCTCATTATCATCCTTATCATCTTATCATCATCAACATCACCATCATCAGCATCAGCATCAGCATCATCATCATCGTCATCATAACCATCGTCATCGTCAACGTTATCGTCAGCGTCAGCGTCATCATCATCACCATCACCATCACCATCACCATGATGATCATCATCATCAGCATCAGCATCATCACCAGTATCATCATTACCACCACCACCATCATCATCAGCAGCAGCATCAGCATCAGCATCAGCATCAGCCTCCTCCTCATTCTCATCCTCATCATCATCATCATCGTCATCATCAGCATCAGCATCATCATCTTAATCATCAACATCAGCATCATCACCACCACCATCGTCATCATCATCATCACCAACATAATCCTCATCATCGTCATCATCGTAATCGTCATCATAGTCATCAGCATCCGTATCATAATACTCATCATCATCACTATCATCAGCATCATCATCATCATCATCATCAGCATCATCCTCATCATCATCATCATTATTACCATCACCATCACCATCACCATCACCATCACCATCACCATCACCATCTTCATCATCGTCACCATCACGATCACCATCACCATCACCATCGCCATCACCGTCACCACCATCGCCACCACCATCATCCCCAACATCAGCAGCATCAGCATCACCATCATCATCATAATACTAATTATTATCAGCATCATCAACATCATCATCAACATCATCAACAGAATACTCATAATATATCTAGCATAGAATCATCATCATCATCATCATCATCATCATCATCATCATCATCATCATCATCATCATCATCATCATCATCATCATCATCATCATCATCATCATCATCATCATCATTCGTTTCGGCACATCCCTCGCACGCTGGGTGGCCCCATGGGGAAATCCACAGAAGACTCCAGTGGCAGCGCTCGCATGGCACCGCCGCGCCCATGCTGGCACATCCCTCTCACGTGTCGTGGCCCCGTAGGGAGCTCCACCGAATGCCTTGGTGGCTGCGGTCGCATGGCACAGGCAATCTCAAGTCGGCGCACCCCTCACACGCTTCGTGGCCCCGTAGGGAGCTCCACCGAAGGCCTCAGCAAATGCGTTTGTATGGCACCGCCGCGCCCGATTCGGCACATCCATCTCACGCTTCGTGGCCCCATTGTAACTTTCACCGAAGAGGCTCCAGTGGCAGCGTTCGCATGGTACCTCCGCGCCCGTGTCGTGTCGGCACATCCCTCACACGCTTCGTGGCCCCATGGGGAGCTCCATCGAAGGCCCCAATGGCAACGCTCGCACGGCACAACAGCGTCCATGTCGGGACACCCCTGACACGTTTGGTGGCCCCAAAGGGAGCTCCACCGACGGTCCCAGTGGCTGCGTTCGCATGGCATCGCCTCACCCAGTTCGGCACGCCCCTCACACGGGTCGTGGCGCCACAGGGAACCTCACCGAACCCCCCAGCAGCTGCGTTCGCATGGCACCGCCGCACCCGTTTCGGCACACCCCTCACACGTTTCGTGGACCCTTAGGGAGCTCCACTAAAGGCTCCAGTGGCGGCGATCGCATGGCACTAGCACGCCCATTTCGAAACACCCCTCACTATGGCACGGCCGCGCCCGATCCGGATCACACGTCTCGTGGCCCGATGAGGAGCCCCACCGAAGGCTCCAGTGGCAGCGTTCGCATGGCACTTCCGCGCCAATGTCGGCACACCCCTCACACGTGTCGTGGCCTCGCAGGGAGCTCCATAGTTTTATTGAAGGCCCCACCGGCTACGTTCGCAGGGCGCCACCCCGCACCCATGTCAGCCCTCACGCGCCTCGTGGCCCCATCCATGGGGATCTGCCGCTCTCTCGTCCAGCCTGCCTTGCGGTACTCGCACCTGCGTATGGTTGGGTCCTTCGCCCGGATAGTTTCAATCCGCAGCCACAGACCTCCCGACCCTTCCCCGGGAGTAGTTTCGTGTGGGCCCGAGAACGTCCCAAAGACCGACATAAACAACAAAAACGCGATTGAACCAATCATCCGGAAGCATGAATGAAAGGAAAGCCATGTGATTTGAAAGATCATACCGTCGGAGCGTTTGGGTTGACGTTGTCGACGACGACGACGACGACGACGACGACGACAACGACGACGACGACGGCGTCAGCGACGGCGGCGGCTAAGATGGGCGCCTCGCTCCGCTCGGCGCCCTGCGGCGACAGCGGGCGACGCTGGCGGAGACGGCGACGGCGACGACGGGGGCGACTTCGACGCTGCTGCGGGTGACGATGCCTCCCACGTCGGCGTTGGCTTAAGTCGGGCCTGTCCCTCTACAGGGGGAGTATTCAAAAAAAGAAAGAAATAGTCTGGGGACTATTATTTGATTATTTTTTGACCATGTTTGAGTATGTTTCGAGTCCTTTTCATTTCTCGTCGAAAATCCCCCTGTAGGGGGACATGCCCGACTTAAGCGTTGGCGTTGGCGTTGGCGTTGCCAAGCGAGGACGACGGCGGCGACGACGACGACGACGACGATGGGAGGAGGAGGAGGAGGAGGAGGAGGAGGAGGAGGAGGAGGGAGAGGGAGGAGGGGAGGAGGAGGAGGACGAGGAGGAGGAGGAGGACGAAGAGGAGGAGGAGGAGGAGAAGGAGGGGAGGAGGAGGAGGGAGGTGAAGGACGACGACGGCGGCGACGACGACGACGAAGGCGGCGGCGAAGACGGGCGCCTCGCTCCGCTCGGCCCCCTGCGGCGGCAACCGTGCGCGGTCCTGCCCCACGCGGCGCTGTCGCCGCTGTCGTGCATCGCCGTCGGTGCCGGCGTCCCAGTCGTTGTCCTCGTCCGTCGCCGCCGCCGCCGTTCTCCTACACCTCTCTCATCATTCCTTGTCGTCCTCTCCTCCTCCTCCTTCCTCCTCATCGTCGTCCTCCTCCTCATCCTCCCTCCTCCTACTCCTCGTCCCCCTCCTCCTACTCCTCTCTCCTACCCCTCCTCCTCCTCCTCCTCCACCTCCTCCTCCTCCTCCTCCTCCTCCTCCCATCGTCGTCGTCGTCGCCGCCGCCGTCGGCGTTGCCGCCGCCGTCGTCGCCGTCGGTGCCGGCGGCAGCGAGCTGCTGCCAGGAGGGATGCGGAAGCTGAAACGCAGCATGCCTGCCGGCCTCGAGAGCGCCGCGGTGCACGAGGAGCGCCGGAGGAGCGACCACGTAAGCACGACCTGCGGAACATCGATCCCCTGCCGAGCCCGAGCTTTGTTTCGGTCGGCCGTCCGTTGCGTGCGCAATCCAGTCCACAAGGATTGTGACTCCAAAGTTGGGCAGAGAATCCCCGTCGTGCGTGCCACGGCGGATCGCGCGCTGGCCTCGCTCAGATGTTTTTCGCGACTGGCCCGAGAGCTGCGGGGCAGACGGGCGCCAGAAAATCGCCCTGACCCTGCGACACACAGCCGAGACCATGGATTCAAGCCCAGCACGGTGCGTCGCACGTTGAGTCCCAGAGCCTCAAAAAATGCGCACCGTACCAGCAGGGGGGGACGCTGTTTGGCTACCCTGTGAAGCTCAATGTATTTGAAGGGCCCTGGAACTTCATACTGCGGATCTGCGCGCGAACAAAACAAGCGTGACAACCGCGGGGCAAACGGTAGCAACGACCACGACACGGAAGAAAGGGAGGATACGAATGCCAATGCGAAGTCGCCCACAGCCCTGACTGCACTCGCACGAGAAAACTGTCGAGTTCAGAAGACCCCTCAGGGATCCTCCACGGTACTGTGCGTTGAAATTGTGCGTAGAGGCACTATCGCCGTTTTCATGTCCGTCGTCGTCGCCGTCAATGTCGTCGAATACTTACTTGCCCCCCAGAAAATGATTCCTGTCTATGGGAGCGACTCCGGGCGCCCTCGCCTCGATGCCAGCTACATGTTCTCTGAAACCGAAACTCCCGCTCGAGCGCGGGCTTGGTTCTAAACCCTGGTCGTTGGACGTCCACCTGCGACGACAAAAGGCTCCCGCTCGATACGTCGTCACAATGCGCTGAAAAGGCCCTGGACAGAGACGTCCTCCAGGAATGGCGATCTCGCCCGATACCTACGTCCTCGCAGCTTGCTCGGGTGGCCGACGTCCCGCCTGCGGCGACAACGGTCCCCACCCGACACCTCGTCGCAAACTACCTTCCAAACACTCTGGCGATAGACGTCCCCCTCTCACGAGTGGTGCTCTCGCCCGAACGACATCCCGGCATCTGGCCCGGCCGCCAGAGGGAGGAGGGCGCCCGCTGCCCGCGGCGGCGCGCACCGTCGAGGCCAGGGGTCTCCCCGCCACCACCGCCTCGGCAAAGCCGCCGTCCTCCTCCTCCTCCCTCCTCCCTCCCTCCTCCCTCCTCCTCCCTCCTCCTCCTCCTCCTCCTCCTCCTTCTCCTCCTCCTCCCTCCTCCTCCTCCTCCTCCTCCTCCTCCTCCTCCTCCTCCTCCTCCTCCTCCTCTCAAGCCACTTGGGCTCCAACCAGGTTTGGGGCCGGCGCTGGTGCCTGCACGGGGCGCTTGAGGCACTGCAGGCCGTCCGACCTCCCCACGGACGCCCTGCCGACCAAAGCCAGCGTTTCAGTTTCTCTCAGCAATGTCGGCGGCTCGCCAATGGAGCCGCTGCGGCGCGTGCCAACGCGCAGAGTACAACGACATCCTCGTCCGCCAACAGTGCTTCTGTGCGTGCGGGAAGAAGGTGGTGCTCTTCTCACCCTCGCCCAAGTCGAGGAAGCGCGACCAGCAGCCTGTCGTCCAGGACACAAAGCCCGCGGCGCCCTCGGTCGTGGACCACCTGAAGGCAGCGCTCGAGGCCACCCCATCCACGGACGTGGACCTCAGGGCGTCGCTCCAGGCCAAGATCGACGCCCTCACGACGAAGGGCGACCAGCGGCCGCCGCCGCCATCGGAGGCCATGCTGGTCTCGAAGGCGGAGGGCATCTGGAAGGACGCCAACCACAAGCACGACCAGGCGGTGGCCAACGTCCACCGCCTCAGGGCGGCCCTCCAGACCGCCGAGGAGAAGGAGCAGCTCGCGGCGCGCGCCCTTGCCTCCGCCGAGATCGGCAAGAGGCAGGCGGCGCAGGCGCTGGCGCGGGCTGCAGGGGTCGACGGTTCGACCACCAGCGGCGAGCGGCCCGCGTTCGAGGTGAAGTGGGACACGAAGCTCTTCGACGATCTTGACCAGGTCGAGGTCGAGGAGTCAGAGCGCATTCAATTGCGCAGCATCAAGCAGGAGCTCGAGGAGATGCAGGCCATGTTCTCGAGCAAGAACGCGGAGGTGCAGGAGTGGCTGCGCAAAGCAGCGGAGGTCAAGGCAGCCATCTCGGAGCGCATGACCAAGAAGCGCCGCGCGCAGGACGGCTCGGCGGCCCAGGGCGCAGCCGGTGCCGCCCCTCAGCCCGCAGGCGGCTCGGAGGCGCAGCCTGGCGGGGCTGCTGGCGGCGGCGGCGGGGGCGGCTCAGCCAGCTCGCCGGGCGCCACGGGCGCAGGCTCGGTCGAGCACGAGGCGGCGGTGCAGCAGGAGGCGCAGCGACTCTCAGCTGCCAAGTTCGCGGCTGCGGCGGCGGCGGACGGGCAGCGTGCAGCAGGCAGCGGGGCCAAGGGCGGAGCCAAGGGCGGTGCCGCCAAACCCAAGGCCAAGGCATGACGGGTTGCGCCTGGGGCTGCCAGCAGCCCCCCTGTGGCAGCGGCATCGACCCCGCAGCCCCAGGCGCCAGTTTTGTCGGCGGCCGAGGCCGCCCCAGCTGTCAGTCGCATTTTCTTCAGCAACGTCACGACCATGGGCGATTCAGCATGGTCATTCTTAGATTCCATCACTGCCACGCACGAGTACATTGGGGTTGCAGAGACTCATATTCCTGAGTCACAGCTGCGCAAGTGGGATGCTCGTGCCCGTGGTGCTGGTCTTCGTCTCCTGGCGAACGCGGCTCGGCCCAGCGGGCGCCATCAGTCTCTTAGTATCATTGCCAAAGCCAACGAAGGTGGAGAGCGGCTTCTCTCAAGGGGGCACCTTCATGTGGAAACGCTACACGAGGCCAGATCCACTACAGCCTTGCGGGCTCCTGGGTTCTCGGCGCTCGACGGGTTCGTAGCTACCGCCATCCACTGCAACGGTTTTTCGTTCATCCTGTGCATCTGCTACGGCTTCACAGGGGTCGGCCTGACAGGCCGCAACTTGGCTCGTTACTATCGTCTTGGCGCTTTGCTCAGCAGCCTTCGGCTGCCGTGGATTTGCCTGGGCGACTGGAATGTTGAGCCGCCCGCCGTCATCGCGTCTGGGTTCCTGGACCAGGTGTTCGGCCACATCATCACTCCTGAGGGGGTCTCCTACACCTGCGACGCCAGCAAGCAGGGGAGCATGCTGGACTACGCGATCGTCAGCGAGGCCGCCATCCCGTACATCATTTCTCTCCAGCCACGGCTGGACATTCCGTGGCGGCCGCACATCGGCCTTTCCATGACTTTCCGCAGCCAAGGGCACCAGCTCTTGACGCGCAAGCTCGTCTGCCCCAGCCGCCTGCCCCAGATTGCTCGCCCGTGCACGCTGCCCTCTCTTGGTTCCAAATCGTCTGTTGCCAAGCTTGACAAGCAAGCCAAAGCGGTGCTTGCCCAAGCCATCAGATGTGAAAAGATTCAGGTGCTGTTCGGAGATCATGTTGGGGGCCAGACGAGCTCCCAAGATCAATCTTGCAGCCAATTCATGTCAGTTTCTGTTGATTTCTGTGACGAGCCTCCCGAGGCCGACCAATGGCCAGATGAGGAGGACCCGTGGGCTTCTGAAGACGCGTTCTGTCAGGTCCAGAGCAAAAGCGAGCCGTCGGCCGTCAGCATCGTCACCTCTCGTGACACGTCTGAGCCAGCTTGCAGTAATAGTGTCTTTCAGGGTCCACCCCCCCCAGCCAAAGGTTGCGTCTCGAGTTTAACCCCCCCCTTTAAGGAAGTCCCTACGTCAAAGGTTGAGCCATCGTTTCGCATCCCAGCCGAGGTTTGGGCATGGTGCCGAGAGCTAAACAAGGGCACGTCCCCGTGGGACCCTCACCCCCCCTCCTCCTCCTCCGTAGTGTTTTGCCTCAACTCTCAGCACAGGGAGTTTGCGAGCTTGTGGTACGGCCAGTGGGTTTCCACTCTTGAGCAGGCCATCCTCTCGCACCATCAGTTGCCCGCCGCTGTCGGCACGTGCAGGGCTGCGGGTTGCAGTTTCGTGATCGAGCCCGTCAGCCACAGTGGTCGGCAGCGCGAGGTCCCACTCAGGGATCAAGTGACAGCTTGGTGGAAGAGAGTTTCATCCATATTACTTCAGACTGTACGACATCTCGGTCGTGACAACGGAGTGAAGCAGCTGGTCCAGTTACACCGAGCCTGCCTGCATCTTACGAGCGACCTACCTGAAGGTGTAGCCAGTTTGCTCAGGGCCGACGAGCCCAAGTTTGACGAGTGGATTGGTCTCTTGCTGAACGTCGGTGGCTGCACGGCCCGCGTGCTGGAGGCCTTTCAGGGACTAGCAGGGCGCATCGAGCAGAGGGCCCACCGTCGCGCCATCAGGGAGTCCCTCAGCGACTTCAAGGCGTGGCTCACCGACCCCAAGGCCAGCGGCGCGGTGTACCGCTCGCTGCGCGAGGACGCCCTCCCCCGCCAAGAGATCGTCGTTGGCAGCTCGACCCTCGTGCATCCCAAAGACATCCTCGACGCCAAGGCGCGCCAGTGGAAGGCCATCTGGAATGCTCATCCTCACGACCCTCAGGCCTTGAAGACGGT